ATTGCCATAAATAAACATTACAAATAATTTATGTAATGCTGAGGTTTTTCGGAAATAACTGGCTGGTGTTTAAAGTAGAAATTAATTTAATTGACACATGCGAAATAATTTCAGAATGCAAGCACACAAAAAACACTTGAACACACGTTAAATAGCTGGCTGGCTGGTTGGTTGGCTCGCCAACATCGACGACAACAACAAAAACAGCGAAATCATGTGGTTTACGGTCATTAATTGCATTAGTCAAACCCAACCAACACCTCTAATCGAAGTGGTGACATAGTAGGACGGATCAGTTGTAACAAATTAATGCTTAATTATTGAAACATTTGTTTATTATCAAAACAATGGATATAATCACAAAAAGTAAAAAAAAAATACATTAAGTTCGGCTGAGAACAACAAGTTATACCCTACTTCATGGGAAGAAGAAAGGAAAAACAGATTTCCTTTGTTCTCAAAAAGAAAAAATGTTGAATACCCCAAGGAACATTTTTCAGGAGCACAATTCTTGTCCTATGAAAATGTGAAATGAAACCTGCATAGGTAACTTTTTCATAACCCATTACAATATTCAAATGCGAAACTTAAAAAAATTGGTGAATAATGTCGCTAAAATCATCAAAATACCGAATATCAGGAGGTGCCGTTATATGGGGGCTATATACCATGGTCCATTTTCAATACCAAAAGTCCTGCAGACATAATATACATTTGAATAAAATTTTATCAATCTACTTCATTTTGTTCGGAAGCTAGAGTGATTTCCACAGACGGACAGACGGCAGAGAATTTTATGCTGATCAGAATATACATACTTTGTGGGGTGTAAAATGTATATTTCGAGATGAAAACGTGATTCATGCCAAATATGTTATCCTCAAAACCGATCTAATTTGGAAATTCCCTTTTAAGGTGGCCATACCCAAGTTGTATATTGTTGAGAGGATACGATATATTAAAATTCAGCTGATTTGGTTAGAAATCGGGGTTGAACCTTCAAAATACCGAAAATTAGAACCAAAAATGTCAAACTATAGCAGATTTGGTTGGGAATTAGGACCAAAACTTCGAAATACCGAGAATCAGATAGTTTCACCAAATGGGGGCCATACCAAAAAGTGGTGAACATTTCAAACCTTAGCAACTTTACGATACATTTTTCAGTAAAAATTACATAGTAACAACATCTACTGGGAGAATATGCCCCCCTTATACTTTCGCCTTCACTTTTGCTCTACTTATCTATTTATATTTACTTATTTTTCTTATTTACTTTCTGTTTTTTTTTTTAATTATGTAGTTATAACGCTTTAGGAACTCTTGATATTCTTGGATTTGAAAATTCTATTTAAAATTCATATTAGATTAAATTTATGGACCTTTACTCATTACTCATCGCCACCTCCCGCATTAGTTATTATTCCAATTATAGGCAACATTTAAAATGTGTTTTCTCCTACCAAGTTTGAGTTCCAATAACCAAACTATTTTGTTTGTGATTTTTATCAAATTATATTGGCTTTTCATCGCAACTATAACAATTATTATTATTGACAATAAATTAATATGAGATATGATGATGATTTTGTGGTTTCCATGCATATGGGAATGCAAATTAATCTAAATACACATATGAACTATAGGACAGATGGAGAAATGAGTATAGATTTGATTATTCAAAATCAAAAAAAACACTGACTGAATTATGTTGAAAAATTCGCGGAGATGGGGATATTATGCCTTACGACCTTCAAGGAAATCAACGCACTCAAAGGCAGTGACATACTAGCATAGAAGTAAAAGTCAAAATAAATTCAAAAAATTCATAGAAGTTGAACTAAAACCCCATCATATTTTTAGTCTACCACACATTTGGGTGATATGCCTTCTATAAATCAAATAATTTCTGTATTTGATTAACTAACTCCAAATTATATTTATTTTTGAATTTTTGATACAAATAAAACCTTTCTGACCCAAAAATCCCATGAAATAAAATTGCATTATTTCTCAAAAGTTTACTTTGCTTTACTGTAATCTAAGATTTGGCACAATTTCATGTGACTGTGAGTGACATATTTTAATGTGTGATTTATTCGACAACGTTTCTGGCTGCTAGTCATAACTGACAAATAGTTTTTAAATTTCCAGTATCTAGGCAAACCAAACGTTTAACTAAGTATGTTGGTTGGCTCAGCCATACAAATCATTGCCAAGGTTAATTATCTGTGGAGAACAGTGTTTTTTCCTGATTCTCCGCTAACCCCTTACACAAGAGTCTATTTAAATTGTCACAGAGCAACATCAAACACCCCTTTTTGCTACTTGCCATGTTGCAAGCATGCTTAATTGCCCTGTTATTTTCTGTCTGCCTAATTTGAATTCAGTCGGTCACACCTCCCTGAAGAGAATTTTTTTGCTTTAATTTTTTTGGAGTCTGTCGCTTCAGAACACATTGCCAGCTGTTTTTGCAATAAATTAACACATACCCTCTAATGAATGTATTTTAACATTTAATTTGTATTAATATTTTAGCAACAATTTTATTCAAAAATAATATTTATGCAGTAATTAAAACAAATTTGCCGATGATGATGATGTCGAATGCAGCCATCTGGCTGACAAAAGTTGGTTAAATATTTATGTTATTTATTTTAATTGGCCCTGTTAAATGAAACCGGTTTGAGTTGGAAAGTGTACTTCTGTTTTTTTCGGTGGCCTACTAAGAAAATTTTCTTAATTAAAAATATAAACACTTCTGAGGTCGTGCGTGATATTTTTGAATTCAATAAACGGATATAACACGTTTCTAAAAATAACTAAATTTTTGAATTGTATTTTGGGGTATTATGTCAACATTTTTAAGAATTTGATGAAGGTTGATGTATTTCACATGAGAAGCAATCAATATCTGTCTTTTTATTAAAAATCATCAAATGTTTCAGGCTTTTTGCAATTATTTATATAGTTATATAAACTTCATGGGATCTATACCTAAATGTAAACATGACATTATTTGTTTCACAGTGTCATTGGAAGTCAATAAAGATTTAATGGTCCATCTTAACTTTTTTTAAGTTTCGCAAAAAATCTTGCAAACAAATAACACAATTATCTTATTATTTATTTGCATTTAAAACATTTCCGTTTAGCCATTTAAAAACATATCCATAAATATAAATGATGCTAATCAAATCTCGTTTTGTGTGGGTGGAATTGGAATATACCTCAAAAAACTAGACAGCTGTAGGTGTTAAATTAATTAGATGAACCGAAATGGTCAGTAAACAAGGCATAACGCAAATAACATGACCTACTGCAACAAAAAAGGAAAAGACATGCTAAACAAAATCAAGTTATGGATACAAATATTAATTATTTTTACTTTTTTTGAATATTTGTTTACTTTTAAAACATTATCTGTAGTGGGATTCTCTAACTCATTTTTGAAATACCGACAAAATCGTTAATTTTGAAATTTTGATATAAACAAATAAAAAAACATTAAATTCGACCAGGCCGAACTTTTAATAGCCTCCACCTTAGGGTAAAGGAAACATTTTTATATAAAAGTAAACGTGGGCCTATAAATACACCGTTTCGCCATGCGAGCCAAAACCCATTATGACCAACAAATACCAACTTTTAGACAAATCGGTGAAAAAATGTGGAAAAAATCATCAAAATACCGAATATTGGGAGGTACCGTTATATGGGGGATATACCAAAACGTGGACCTATACATACAATGTTTCGCCACACGAGCTAGAACCCATTATGACCTACATATATCAATTTTTATACAAATCCGTAAAAAATGTGGCAAAAATTATCAAAATACCGAATATCGTGAGGTACCGTTATATGGGGTATGGGGGTACCAACCATTCCAGACACAATACAAATTGTTCAGCAAAATTTTGAAATAATGAAGGCTATATCGTGATTTCTACAGACTGACCGACGGACATCGTTAAATCGACTTAGAATCTTATGCTGATTATGAATATATATATTTTATGGGGTCTACGACGAATATTTAGGGATGTTACAAACGGAATGACAAAGTTAATATACCCTCCTTTCCCAGGTGGAGGGTATAAAAAGTAGATAAAGTTGACAACATTTGTGTCTATCGGTAGTTCTTAGCGACTACTTTGATGTTGTCGCTAAATTACCGACAAATTTCGTAAATTACCAAAATTATAATCATTTAAATTTTACCGAATTTTGTCTCAAAAAATGTGTTAGAGAATTCCACTACTGATTTCATTTATTATATTTTTTTTGTAATTAAATTTGTTTAATATAATATTTTCTATTTATATTTTTTATTTTGTTGTAAATATGTTTTTTTTTTTCTTTGAAACAAAACACACTTGTATACCTGATATATTTAATATTATTGAGCGTTCTTCAGAAACACCACAATTTGATACAAAACTATAAACAGACTCACAGATGTTTTGAAATGTTTTCTCAAATGAAACCTAAACCCGTTTATTTCTACCTCTGCTCATTAGCAGATAGCTAACTGATATTTTATCAAACTGTCAGCCATAGTATAATTCATATTTCATTTGATCTCTCAAAAGGCGAGCAAAATAGTTTACGTTTTGTGTGCATGTGTTGGTTTAATGTGAACATTAGAATAATCCACCTAGCAAATATTGGCTGGACTTGAGCTTGAATTTATTTAAGGTAATAGAAATGAAGAGATCACATATGGTTCTCTTAATATTTCTGTGTGCGTTTTCTCTTAATATATTGCTACTTCTATGGTGGAAAGAGCAATCGCTTATGATATTAGACCCTAATTTAAAAATGCTATAATAGAAAGTTCTAAATACCAAAAACGAGAACATTCTTTCGAATTCATTTGTTTGTCCACATCCCCTAAAGAAATCATTTCATTTTTTGCATAAGTTCATCCTACAATGCATTGCTGATTTAAGTCAAATATCCATTTTTTTCATTAAAGTCAAACATAAACTGCATTCATTTTGGAAATGTTTATTTTTTATTTCAACGTTCATGTCATCAACTAAAACCTTTGACCCAAAGAGGATCCCAACAACATACCCATGGGTGGTGCCTGTGGCTTACGGGCATGCACTTGAGCCGCTGCACCTGGTATCGTAACACATCCTACACACGTGTGCAATGTTTCATGTATAAAAATATCACAATCAAGGCAAAAGATCTGAGAGCAAGCCTCACAACGGTATACATTTTTATCGGTAGCTTCGGTCAAAGGTTTCTGGCAGGCATAACAAATTGCTGCCTGGCCATTGTAAACGAGTTCCGTGAAGTTTTGTACGGGAAACAAATGATGATAGGATCGAGCCAAATGGGGAGCAGAAACCAAAGTTAGGCCACAGGTTTGACATTCCACGGGCAATTCACAGTATTTACTATGACATTGTGGACAATGGAAACCGGCAGATGTAATTTTGCTAGGTTCGTCAGCGTTTTCAATGTGGCACATACACATCGACAAAGGTGGATCCTTTTCCTTGCCCTCATCCTGCCTTGCATGGGGAAATCCCATTTTAATTAGAGAGTTTTCTTGAGTCTGGGCTGCCGGTGGTGGATCAACATGGGAAAGCAATTGATCGCGATAATGAGAATCATCTAAAACAGCTCCATATGTACCACCAGTTTGTTGTGTTAAATGACGGCAGACATGAATTTCAGCAGACAAGGAAATGACCGAACAGCGTATGCTCTCCTGCTTCAGGGCATCAATTGTTATGTTGATATCAATCGGGTCACAAGTGGTCAGGGATCCCATAATAATTAGAACTTCCCTAGAGGCATGCGATGGCACAACCTTCAGTGTCTTCAAAGCCAAATCAAGACCGTTTTGTAAGGAAGGCTCCCCAACAAGGTTTATCTTGTGTAATCTGCAATAGAAAGTAAAATATAAACCAAATTTTACTAACAATTTTGTTTGCATACCCATCCAAGGCCTTCAAATGTAATTTGGCAGTTCCCGTCAATTCCGTGACCTTTTCAGCACGTTTACCTTTAAGCACAATCAATCCCATTTGACTGATTGGATTTTGATCAAAAAATTCCTCAATAAATTTTTCCAATAACTACAGGGACAAGAAAGGGTGAACCATTATAGACACATTAATAAATGGGGAGGCTATGAACGCCTTACCTTAAGGGTACACAAAAGTCTGGTGGGTTTAAGATCGGGCACGGACATAGATTCCGAACAGTCCAACATTAAGTACAGATGTCTCATCATGCCGAGTTTATTTTGCATAGTTTTTTGGGCCTGCCTCTTTCGTTTGGCCTTTTGAATAATGTCCGCAATGGCACCATCCAGCAGGCCGTCATCGTCCTCCTTAATGGCTTCCCATGTTTTCTCATAGCCAGTCTCCCAGCGATATTCCTTGGGATCTTCTTCCTCTCCGTGGTGATCCATGGTATTTAATATGCAGACCAGAAGATTTCTAGATTTCTCGGATGGATTTATGTTCGATCAGGGCAAGCTCACACTTGAATGAGATGGAAGAACAAGAGAATTCCGGTCCAAAGCGAAAATGCATGATAAAGCTAAAAATCAAAACAAAAGAAAGGACCAAATGCAGGGTACTGGAAATCGAAAACACTTTGTAGGGCTCTAGAAATGTCATGATGTGTTTGCTTCATAATGATTGCGTCTGTCGAGTGGCAGAAATATAGTCAAAGTAGATAATCGCTGAAAGCCCTTTTGGTTGTATATAAATTTAATAATTATATATAAAAAAATAATAAAAAAAAAACTCAATAAAATGAGATGCCATTTTTATAAATTCATCATGATTTTTACGCGACCAAATATGTGTAGTAAAACGTTTGTCAAAAGGGTGAGTCAATTACCGCCATTATTGCTTAAATGTTATGCATGTTACAATAATTTAGAACGGTAGGCAACTTCACATCTCTGATTTCTATACATACACATATATTTAAAATGTACGAAATTATGGATAGTTGCGTTGAATAGTTATAGAATCGCATTGCAGCTGTAATTTAATATTGATACTTTTGCGTCATGGCGCGCATTTAAGATTTAAAATTTAATGAATATATATTAAATAGAAATGACGAAAAACTGCATATTTTTCAATGTATTTTAAAAGCAATAAATTTTAGCGTGGTCGCGTATATATATTATTTCAAAATTTGTAAATTTGGCAAACATATGTTTTGCGAGTTACCAACTTTAAAGAATAGTGCGTTCAATTTTGTACGCGGGTTCTTTTTATTCTAACAAAAAGCGAACATAGTTTTAGGGTTGTATTTGAATAGTTTTTTGTACCTTGAAGCTATTTTTTACCTCTGTATTTTAGCGGGACAATTTTTTTCTGTGGTTCATAAAGTAGAAGATAAAGGTGGTAAAGATGGAGATGTAGAACCTGTACTTGACACACATATTTAAAAACATAACACAATTTCTTCTAAACAAAACTAATTTGAAATGTCGGCATTAGATAGTTCTTCTGCGGCGGCGAAGGCCTAAAAAGAGCAGCCGCGCTACGCCGTCAAATCACAATCGACTCGCTTCCACCTCTGCACATGATTGGCTGTGATTGGTTAAAAAACTGCTTCCATTTTGTAGCGAACGGAAAATTTATTCATTTGCTTCCATCTGAATTTTTTTCATTCCCTCTCAAACTTCAAAAGAATATTTCATATTTCGGTGAATTATTTTGTATAAAATAATTATTTAAAATGCGTTAAAGCAAGCAAAACGCGTATACAGTTTTGAGTTAAATGCAGTGTCATAATATGAAATTGGAAAGTGTGCTTAAATGAGTAAATAGATCATCTAAAGTTTATTAACAAAAAAAGCGAAAGGCTAGAGTGAGAAATTTGTAACCAAACTTGAAACAATTTAAAGTAATTTAAGACAAAGTCTGTTGATTCGTAAACTAAAGGTAATCCGATTATATTTCGTTATATAAATTTTCCACGAATTTCTGTAATTTCTGAACCAAATTGGTATTTTATTGACGCGGCGTATAAAGTGTTCGCTAAGTAAAATCTACTGTCCATCCTCATTGGACTCCGGGTAATAGCAAGGCAATGTCTTATCAGTAAAAGGCGCGGAATATGTGAAAGTGTGGAATAAATTCTGCTTATGTCCAAAAAAAAGTGTTCTTGTAGTTTTGGCGCCGCTTTTTCTTGGAGGAGTAGTCCCCAAAAAGTTGGTACAATATTTGTGCATTCATTTTGCGCTTAAAATTTATTGTGTTTTCATGGTTTCTCCACTTTTCCTATTCTTTTCAATGCATCTTTCGTTTCGTTTTTTTTTTGCAATGTGTGAGTGAGAGAGAGGTTTAACTGTACTTCTCCTAGGCATATTACCAAAAACATTCATTGGAAAATGATAACATTCTGAAATGTTTAAAAAATATTTTTTGTTAGTGGGAGTCTGTTTATTTTCGTATTTGATCTACTTTGTGCCAAGTTTAGTTATAAAATGTGTTTTAATTTATCTATGAGTTGAAAATTCAGAAACTTCCTGGTCCTGTAAAATCTGGCTGTATTTGGGTACATAAAATATTTTTAGGTTTTGGCGGCAAAAAGTTTTCTAGATAACCCATATTAAAAATAAAACAAAACAAGCACACTGGTAAACTAACTCTTGCTTGGATTTTCCATTTCAGTAGTTACTTTCTGAGATGGTGGGACGAGAAATATCTCCAACAGAAGTGGGCAAACATGCCAAACTAATAAAAAGTAAGTTTAGAAATACTTTCAAATGTTCTGTATCTAATAACATAACTCATTTACAGGTGCCCAAGAGGAAATGGCAACAATGGATGTTTTAGTTTGTGGACGGTGTCTGAATGTCTTTCATTTCATTGAGGATTTTAAGATGCACAAGCAAAAGACTTGCTATAAGGAAAACAACAACGTTCGTGAGTGCAATGATACCAAACCGAAGATATGGGCATTCTTGCTTTGGAAGGCCACACAGCTCCACAACAATAAAGACAACAACATCACCAGTCCAAATTCATGGGCCCTCTACCAAACATGGGTGAAGATGGATGAAAATCTAAGGGAAACTTGGATTGTGGCGGGAAAAACTATACAATCGTTTGCCAAGGTCTCACAGGGAAATCTGCAAGAAATGCCCGTTAAAATAACAAAGACTGTAGTAAATAACAACAGTGGAGACGGAATATCACCTGGAAGAAGTAAGAAATTAAATTCTGTTGAAACCAGAAATATTTTAATGACCTCTTTGTATTTTAGAACCATTAACCCAAACAAAGCCACAGGTGGCAAATCTCAAGCCACCCGTCAAATTAAATATTAGCAACAAATCGGCAGTAGATTCAGAAAATGAAACGTCGCCGCTTAAAAGCCCTTTAGCAAATAATGCCGTACAAAAAATTATGCCCAAGAAACCAGTGACTGTTTCTCCGCAATTGCCCACCAAACCACCACCAGCTACTGTAACACCAGCAACAACTGCCACCACACCCGGTGCTGCTAAACCTTTGACGTGAGTTGGAATATAATTAGATTAGACACTACTACGATATTATCAATCATATTTTCCCCCTTAGACGTCGTGCCAAGCGATCTGTACCCAATAGTGAAGATATCGTCGAGGAGAATGTTGAGAAAATCGTGGCCAAACGCTTTAATCCTCGTCGAAGAATGCACGAATATCTGGTTAAATGGGAAAATCGTGCTTTGGAGCAAAACACTTGGGAGCCGGCTTCACACTTGGAAAATGTGCCCCACTTGCTAGACACTTTTGAAAAGCAATTGGCCCGTCAAAAGGAAACACGGGCAGCTCTGCAAGCAAAACAACAAGCTGCCGCTGGAACTCCTGTGCCAGGCAACAAACTTGGCGATATAAAAGTAGCTGCTAAGGATTCTCCAACACAACTGCAGCAATCTTCACCTTTAGATACTCAAAGATCACAATTGGCATCGCCATCAGATAGACCACAGCGTTCGTCGAAGACCAAAGCTATGGACCAAGTAAAGCAGTGGGTAGCAGGAAATTCCTTATCATCGGCCCATTCCCCAAACTCGGATGCGGCCTCCCATCAAAACGAAAACGATAAAGACTGGCCCTTAAATACCAGCACGGGTTCCGGTCAAATGGGAGGCCTTAAGCGCAAGCTGGATGATTCTGATTATAACGATTCTAATGCTGAGGACATGCCAGCAAGCACAACAAACACAATGGAAGATTTGGAGGAAGATCTTATACCGTCTCACACACTGAAAAAGATGAAATATGGCAATTCAGTGTCGGTAGAAGTAAAGACTAAAACAGATATGGTAAGTACTTTGGGGTGAATGCCTAAATGGATTAACTTATAATGATATATTTTCCTCTACAAGACTAAGCAAATCAAAGTCAATGGAACTGCGGCAGCCCGTAGCGAGAATCAAACTGCTGTCACCACATCCTCGTCGTCGGCGGAGGTAATTATAACTCAAGACACAAGCGCATCAGGAGTTGTCAAGAAACCAGGTTTCACTGGCACAAGTAGTGTAAGGACCTACCTTTATGGCACTCAAATAAGAAAAGTCTTGTAAATCATTCTTTGCTTTTAATTTTTAGAATAATAAGCCTGAGGCTCAAGTACGTATACTTTCCAAAGGAGAATCCGCCATTTCCAACTCTGGTATAGTTCGTGTGGGTAGTTCCAATGAGTTAAATGCTGCCACGTCTTCTCCCTTACAATCCCCACATACCACACCCGTTTCCGAAAACAAAACCCAACAATTGATTTCTAGAACTCAGCACGTCCGCACTGTTGCTAATACCACTGGACGTTCTACACCCACATCTGGCAGACCAATGGTACAGCAACAAATTGTTCGCACACCAAGCGGAACAACAATACAACGTAAAAGTATACCAGCATCAGGCAATTCTATACAACGAGGTCCCGGTGGTACTTTACAATCGCGAACCATGTCCCAGTCTTCTCCCTCATCGGGTAGAATGATTATACCACGCCAGGGAATGTCAGCTTCCAGTACACCTAGATTGGGCCAACAGAAGGCGGTCACGCCCGAACAAAAAATATTACAACTTTCCAAATCGGGTGACTTGAAAGTGACGAAGAAAGTAATGACGCGTGAAGACGTGGTAGCACAGCGCCAGCAACATCAGCAGCTGCAACAGAGACAGCGACAACATTCTCAAGTACATATACAAAAGGTTCAGCAATTATCTGGTCCCGCTCAACGCAATACGTCCATGGCTCAAAGAAAACAAATCCACCAACAACAACATCAAGTAGTTCATCATCACCAGCAGCAGCAACAACAACAACAACAGCAGCAGGAGGAAGAACATCAGGCGCGTCTTTGTCCCATAACCGGAAACATCATTGGTGGAAGTCAACAGGAGGAACAGCAAAATTTGCAGGTCCAAACCCAACTAGAACAGCAGCAGCATCAAATAACACTGCAGCAGGAACAACAGCAACTGCATGATATTGATCCCAATCTACTTCTTACCCAAGATCAAATGCTTACCAATGAAGATGGTACCCCATTGTTGGTCACGGGTGAAGATGGCACCGTTTATCAGGTTGCTGGTAAGAATGCCGAAGGACAAACGATTTTAGTGACACAAGGACCAGATGGCGAACAACACTTTGCCTATGTAGCTGCTGCCGAAGGCGAAAACGAGAATCAAGCCTTTGCCATAGACAATGCCGCTGTAGCTGAAGCTGTAGCACAGTTACCCGCTGATCAACAAGCTGAAGCACTGGCAGCTGTTGCTGCAGGCGAGGCTGGTAATGGTGGTGGTCAGTATTTGGTTAAGACAACCCAAGAAGATGGCACGACTCAAGTAGTTACCATGACGGAGGCAGAACTTCAGCAGCATCAGGCAGCAGTAGCTGCGGCGGCAAATGCAACTCCTGCAGCAACCAATCAATTATGTATACAAACCGGAGATGGTTCAGATGGACAAGCCAATATACCCGCAGAGGTGGTACAAGCGGAATTACCCTCTCCAGGTATGTTACAAAAACTTTGCCTACCGAAAAAATCTCTTAAATAATCCCATATTGTATGTTTCAGGCGGAACTCGACGAGTTGTATTACTTTTACAGGATGGCACATTTATGATGACCGAAATGCACGACGACGAGTTTAAGGCTCTAAATATTGCAGCTTAATTTGATAGGTACGAGATTTAGGAACCTTACACTTTATAGTCATCACAATTACCACTCTTCCCGATGCCACTAATCTGTGAAGAATCATATATTGTTGCAAGGTCATTATTTTAAGTATACATTAATTACATTTTATATAGAAGGTAAACAATTGTAAACTGTTTAATCTCCTGCTTTTCACTTTAAACAAATACTGTACATTATTTAAATTTTCGTTTCGTCGTTAAGTTGTTTTACATTACCTTTATCGTTTTACTTATCAACTGCTCCTGCAACAAATCGTCATTCTCCCCTAGTAGAAGAACTTTATCCAATTTAATGGATATACATGAATATATCTATGTCGGATCTATCAACATAGATACCCCAAACCCATACACACAAAATAGAAGAAAACTTCGCAAGCATAGAATTACATTTCGTTTATTTTTTAATTAAAATGATTAAAAACCTTAATAAAGATAAACATTATTTATAAGCTAACATATTAAAAAAATGTATGGTTTTTTGTATAGAAATGCAATAATTTAAAGTTATGGTAGTACCCACCTGGGAACAAAACAAGAAACGAGTTCTCCAAGTCGAGAATAGATAAAAATGTATCCTTCAATTTCAACAACTTTTGATAAACTTTGCTATAAAAAAGCCAACCGTGTCTATGTGTTTCTGATTTGAGGGACCAAAGCGTTGTAATTTTTTACGATCGTCTTCTAACAAACCATCACAGTTCCAACCACCTTCGCCATACACTGGTTCAATTTTTACCAATTTTAATTCGGGGTATGTTTTCAAAGCCCAAACCACAATTTCCTCATTCTCTGCTATGTTTACAGTACATGTACTATAAACCAATGTTCCGCCATCTTTTAATAACATAACAGCATTTGAGAATAGCCGTTTCTGGACCTTGGGATACGAATCCAACATCTTTGGAGATATACTGCTCGATAACATTGGTCTATTACCCAAAGCACTGCAAGGGGCATCTAAGAGTATACGATCAAACGTCTTTGCACGAAAAGGTGGTTTAAAATCTATGTCATTTTGCTGAACCTCATCCGAATAGGCCTTTGTGGAATCATAGGCATAGGCTTTTATACAGCTTAAATTATTTTTGCTTATTTTGTCTAAGACCAATTTGATTTTGGATTCTGTCTTATCCATGGCAACAATAACAGCTCGATTTTTTACAAGCTCTGCCAGATGTGTGGTTTTATTGCCAGGTGCTGAGCACATGTCTAAAATAAGTTCATTCTCTTGTGGATTTAGTGATCTGGCACAGACAATTGAAGGTAAGTTTTGTAGCAAGGCCTCTGAACTACTTAAATCACCAATTGAAGGTACACCTGAAATTGTGTTCAGAATTTCAATAGCAATGCCCGGCTGAGGTCCTTCAGACCTGTAAAGTTGATATCTTTGCATTAACACTTTTCCCTGACCCAAATAAACCTTTTGTTCGGAGTCGTATCGGATGTTTGAGCCTTTCTTACATTTTCCCGATAAATCTGCATATACATTTACTATATCACCTACTTGTGTACCCGATTCCATGCCCACCACACCAATGGAATAAATGTGAGCACCTCGAAGTATTGCTGCGCCACAACAACTATCAACAATTACTTCTTTTTGTTCGGAAATGGGATTAGGCGCATGATCAGTGGGGGAAATACAAACAACTTCTGGCAGGTCGGGTAAAGAAAACACTGGTGGTGGATTGTGATAACGTTTTTTGAGCAGTTGCTCGACTTGATTCTTAAAGGCTTCTTGAGTTGTCTTCAAAAGATTCACCCGATATGTAGTGACAGATGGCGCCCGACATAACCAGGGCAACAGATCTTCCAACAGAGTGAGCTATATGATAAAGAAAACAAAATACATTGAGGTGTTTTAGAAAGTCATGTTATATTTTTTATAAAAACAATTTTAATGTCTATTTACTATTTCTTCATAACCCATCATAATGATATACTATGGTACCTATTCAATATTCTAATGTGGTTATTTTTATGTAATGTATTTTAGGCCTACAAACTTATTTCAAACTAAAACTTTGTTTTATGTAATCGTTAATCGCCGTTCAGGCATAATAAAATCCATCGATTTCATTCCATCTACACGCAAAAGTGTAAACATACTTTTAGGATAAACTCTAGGTTATGAAGCCCGCCATCGCCCATTTGATTTCAACAATTTTTTTGATTTTGCTCAGTTTTACTCGAACGCTACTAGTAACTACCGCATTATGATATATTAAGCTTATGGTACAATTGTTGTACCGAGGTACCATATATATAATATAAAGACTTCAGTGTAAACGTGCTTGAAGTAAAACTACAGGAAAGTTATTTGTAATTAATTGGCTATATTATGCTACATATACTTAAATAATAGCATGTATACATATTTATATATAGATATTTTTCCGCTAAAACACAATGACCAATCCATGTAATTTATTTATTGTTTTTTACGAGTACGCTTTACGTCATACGTCGATATATAATCTGGCCACATTCACAATGAAATCCTACTCACAAGCTACACTACAATTTGGCAACTCTTATTAAGCATTGTTCTTTTGTACGTGTTGTTTATTTTCACGGAAGAAAGACACATCCGACAATTATTAAATTAAAATTGTTAATAAATCCTGTGGTGATAGCGACAATAAACAGTATACTTACATTCCCTTTACATAATTGTGATTCAACAAGTGGATAACGTATAAAAGGTGATTTTGGATAAAACATTTGAAAGACTTTGGAGGCGTGTATGTATTTGTAAATGGGAAGAAAAGATTTTTTTGTGCAACTACAGAACTCAGTGTATCGTCGTCGTCGAGGTAGTGGTGGCGGTGTCGTTTTTATTGCCCGAGTGGCAACACTCTTTCGGTGTGGAATCAAACTATTTGTTTCTTTCCAACACTTTTCAATTGTCTTGAAATCTTGAAACACGACGTGGCAGCTTTTTATTTGAGTGTGCTGTGGCTGTCCCTTTCTAATGAATGAATTTTATCGGCGAATGAATTGCTTTTCGTAGTCTCTATCATCGTCGTTTGAAGTTTTTTCACAGACAGTTCCATCATTGCTGTGCGGTTTTTGATTAATTTTTGTAGAGATTCTCATAAAATTTCTGCACAATTGTGTGTGCATTTAATTTGATATAGTGGTGCGTATTGTAATAGTATTAAAAATTATTGCTAAATCAATTAGTGCTGGAAAATTCATGGGTTTTCTTTGAAAAACATGGTTTCCATTTGATCTTTGATTCTTGTTATATTGACGGCATCGGCATGTGGTGAATTTTTCAATTTATTTTATTCTTGATATTCGTAGTCGCGATAGAGGATATCGGTTTGTCTCTTTCTAGCAAAATTGGCAAAATATTTCGCACAGAATGGTAATGTCAGAGTTGTATTTGTAGGTCCATGAACTTAATGCCAGATGGTGGATATTCTTTAATTTATAAATTAATTTGTGTAAAAAATCAAATTACATTGGAAAATGCGTTTTGTAAGATATTTCATAGCTGTGGTATTCTTTTTTGTTTAGTTTGGTTTGGCAATGCCCTAGCTTTCACTTGTTTCATTGTTGCTAGAAAAATATGGCAACATCGGTTCAATGAAACAACTGAATGTCTTTTCATTCGCTGTCGTCAGTCATTTATTCTCACCATTGTTTCTACATAGTTGAAAAAATTAACATTGAAAAAATTGTGAAAAGCGAAAGATTTTTCCTCCAACAAAGTAATTATCAAAAAAGTATAAAAAGTCTGTTTATATATTTTCGAGAGACATGCAATTAAAAGAAAGTGAAGTAAAATACGAATAATGGAAGATTTAAAGCAATTTTCGTTGTCGGTTTTCTTTTCGTCTTGGGAAGAGAAAAAAGTGTTGTGATTGATACGTGTTTTATATTTTTTGCCTTTGATTATTCTGTATTCATTATCATTGTTTTAAAGATTTTCTTTGCGATCTTTTATTATTTTGACCCCCATAAAATCAAAAAATTCAGAGAAATATTAATGGAATTACGTCGCCGTCATCATAAATTGTGGTGAATTATTTACGGACTACTGCTGCCTTTCAATTGTTGTTGCTGCTGTCATTACAACTTTATTTTAAACCTCCGTTTTGTGTTGCTCATTCTCACCACACTCTTAAAGTTTAGTTTCTTTTTTTTCGTATTCGTGGTGGACGGACGTAGGGTGGTGCTGGTGCTGCTGTTGGCAAATAATAATTAAATATTTGTACAAAATTTCTTGGATAATTCCGAAAAAATAGCTAGTGCATTGTGAGAATACGTCATTTCAACGGTAAACATATTGTGTATGGATATTAATAAGGAAACTACTAGAAAATATTTGGTTCTAAAACAAGGTGGCGGCGTTGCTGTGTGTCTCGTTTCAGTTTTCTATTCATAAGCTACGCAAGCAAAAAAGATGAAGAAACTCAAAAGAAGAAATATGCTCCATACTGCCGTGGTTATGTTTCGGCAAAAATGTGATTTTTGCACAAAGAAATTTTATTTTCTAAACAAACACAACCTGTGAAATTGACTAATCTTTTCCTTTTCCTTGTCTATTGATAATTTCAAAATAATACTCTGCTCTGCTGACTCACTTCATATTTCTACTATTTTCGTTCGTCGTATTAACCCCCTTTTGACGTACTTCTTTTTTTCTCCATCTACATTCTATGTACTTCTTTAGGTCTGGTTGGGTCTGGCGGCGGCGGCAGTGTGTGTGTGTTCACTTTTTTTTTTTTTTGGTGTGTAAAATTTTGCTGTCATCTGTATTTTTATTCAACGTCATTCATTGTCATTTTTTTATCTACTTTCTTGATAAACCAAAAATCATCAAAATTCTAAGCTTCCGTATATGAAAATGTTGTTTTAAAACTATTTTTAACACGATTACGATTAGCTTATACCACCTCTAATCTGGAAAAGGTATTCGCACAACTTGAATTTTTTATGCAGATTTTAATACCCATTCACCTGTTTCGTGTTTAACTTGATTGATCAAACATATTCTTCTGAACACAGGAAAAATACGTGGGGGTACTTGGATCTTGGAAAGCGTTTGGATGTCTTGAAAAAAGCCACTGCGCCATTAATGCGATCTACTAGAAACCAAATTTCCAACATTTAAGATTATGTTCAAATTGTGTTAAATGTTAGTCTTCAATATTTTAAATATTTCTTATATATTTTTTACAACTATATGTTGTAAATAGTGCATTCAGAGTTTGCCGGATAAGGTAAACGAAGTGGAATTAAATTGGCAAAGGAGGTTAATATCTAATGTAAACGTATAATAAGTTCATAAAACCTTTATATACCTATATTCTCAGTTTCAGGACCTTTCGAGTAAAAACATTGATGATGTAATTTTGTTGTCATATCTGTATCTAACTCCAAAGGAATTGCTTCATCTTGCGAGAGTTCGTGGTATTTTTCAACTATACCTTGTACCTATATAAAATTAGGTTCAATGAGATATACTGAAGCTTTCGAATTAAGACGAGGCATCTAATTGAGAATAGTAGGGTGCTATTTTGAAAATTAATTGTATCTCTTTCCTTGTTAATTGTCATAAAGTTACAGCATTTCAAATGCTACTGCTAGTCTTTAACTTTCCAAAGGCTTAACATTGCTAGTTAGTACTCATAAGAAATTATTTCTAATGCTCGAAAACCCAAGCTTTTGGTATTTTGCCCCTTTGAAGAAGTTGTGTTTTGAGGGCTTTGATCGCTAAGAAGGCGACTGCTTAATATTCGCATATATATTGTATAACTACTAACAGGCGGTCAGATAAAAAACTGTAACCAAGTCAAACGCCATAATTTTTACATTTTTTTAAATTTTATTGAATGAAAGCAAAAAATGTTGTAAACAGCATCAAATTTTAGAATAAGTTTAGATTTGTTCGAATTGGTAACCTTCGGCACGAATTATGGCCTTCAAATTGAAACCGTCACACGCTGCCCGAATGTTGTTCTGCGATATTTTGGCCCATTCCCGGCGAAGCGCTTGCTTGAGGTGATCGACACTTTGGTACTTTTTAGTGCCAACCATGCTTTCCAAAATACTTTAGACACAATAGTTCAACGAATTGGTAACCGGAGATTTTGGTGGCCATTGGGCGATTAATGGCTTTACCCCGAGCTCATTTTTCAATATTTGCCGAATGGAATATTGCGATATGTTCAGCTCACGAGCCATTTTTCGGCCACTGCGACGCGGCTTTCGATTTAGTCGCTTCTTTATTTTTCGAACCATTTCTGCTGATGTTGCTGTTTTCTTCCACCCACTTCCTTGTCGTCGGGCTATGCTACCAGTATCACGGTAATGAGTGATGGTACGAGACATAAAAGATTTTTTTCACATTTAAATGCTGGAGTGCTCTAACGATAGCCACTTGTGGTTTTCCAGCCAAATATAAAGAAATCACACCATCACGCTTGAATTCCATTACGAATAATTTTTTTTCTGGAAAGTTCTCACCAATATTGAGCTGTCACTAGAAAAATTTTAACAGCTGTCGGACGAGTGGCTTAGAAATGATAGCAGTCTGAAGTTGGTTGTAGTTTTTTTCATTTCACCCTGTATATCCCATTCGAGCTACAAATATTGCTAAGATTGAGACTCAGAAAATTGGCTTTTTAAGACCACATCATTATTATAAATAATTAAGATCCCTGTTTGCGCTCTTAAACATGTTTTATTGAACAATTTCTGACTAAGCTTTTAGTATTTCATTTTGTGTTAGCACATCTAAATATGAAGTGTGCAATAAGAAATTAAAAGTATTAATTAGAGCATGAATGCATCAAACCACCATAGACCGTTGTCATTGCATACCACATCGATACCGAAGCAACACAAGTTTGCACATTATTTTTTTATCACCAGTTTTTCAAGCTTACTTTTACTTTGTATAGAGAGCGAATTGTTACTTTCTAATGAGCATAACAAAAGTTATTATTTTTTATTATCATCCATAAAAACTTAAAGTTGTTTATTTCAAGTTATAACCTTAACATTGCATTTGTCTTTCAATTTACTTTACATTCGCAGTAATTCTAACTTAAGCTCTTTCAATTCTAGAGTTTTGTGCCATGTTATCTCAAATGAATCATCCAAAATTGTAGCAGCACACCATTTCCTTTTTCCACATTTGTTCAGAATTAAAATCTGTGTCACTATGGTTTATATAGTAGTAGTTAGACAGACGACGACGATATACTTGACAACGATATCGTGTTTTGTACATGTGTATGTGTGCCAATATCTCCACGTTGATTTCGAGCATAGAGAAGCAGTCATAATGTTATGAATTCCCCCTGCCCTCCCCCCCACTCTCTCTGAAGGGTTTGCATATAGTTAGCACAAATAGCTTGGTTTGTGTGTGCGCGCCCATTTTGCTATGACACAATTTTATTTATCACAATATTGCTCCCTTATTTCATATTTGTCAATAGAATATGTTAGAAATCTAACGGGTCTCTTATTTATGAATAGAATATGTTACTGAAAGTTATCTTAAAGTTAAATAATTCAAACTATTTAAGTATTCTATTTTATTTGGAACTTGTAGAGAATTGCTGATATTTTTTGTGGGGGAATTAACATCCTTCCCATCAATTATTGCATTTTTTTTAAATCTTGTTTATTCTGGAAATACATGCATTGAGCCATCAGAGTTTCAGTCATATTATCAACATAATTTTGCCCTGTCGTCTATGGCTTGGTCTAATTATATTCTCTGTGGTTTTGTTGATTTCCCCAACTATAAATTGGCATTATTCACGCTGATTATATGTAATCTCTACACAGTGCTAATCTTTAATTTAATAGAAATGGAAAGGTGGAAGAACCAAGTTCAAATTGACCAAAAAATCCATTTTAGTCCAAAAAAATTATAAGCAATATTAACAAATCCATTAATAATTATCCTTTACTACTGTTCTTTTTACAGATATAGATCTTTAAATCCGAGTGGAGCTTCAATTACACATCGGCTAACTCGGAACAGCAGGAAATTACCGACATCAATCTAAAACACTTCAGAATTCCATACATCAATATAAAAAAGATAATCTTTTTTATATTTGTACAATAAATTAATACAGCACTCGACGACAGTACTAATAAAAAAAGAAAGAAAAGCATACAAACATGGGGAATGTATTTGCAAATCTGTTCAAAGGTCTCTTCGGTAAAAAAGAAATGAGAATATTGATGGTCGGTTTAGATGCCGCTGGTAAAACCACAATTTTGTACAAACTTAAATTAGGCGAAATTGTAACAACGATACCTACCATTGGTATGTTATTTGAATTGCTATATAGAAACCGTACAAATTATTAATGATTTGATTTTCTAGGTTTCAACGTCGAGACTGTAGAATACAAGAACATTAGCTTTACAGTGTGGGATGTGGGCGGTCAAGATAAAATTCGTCCATTGTGGAGGCATTACTTCCAAAATACACAAGTAAGTTTATAATTGTAAAAAAAGTTTCAAAGGTCTAAATACTAATTGCCTTCTTCGATATCTCCAGGGTCTCATATTCGTCGTTGACAGCAATGATAGAGAACGTATCGGCGAAGCGAGAGAAGAATTAATGCGTATGTTGGCTGAAGACGAGCTCAGAGATGCTGTTTTACTTATATTCGCAAACAAACAGGTGAGTTTAATGCATAACCAAGTTGCACAATTATCGATAACAGCATTTTAATTTTAATTCCGAAATGCTTTCGGTCTGTTATGTTATACCACCAACAACCAGACCAACGATAACGTTTTATTATGTACTCTTGTTACCTAAAAATTTTTTTTGATAAGATATGTTGTATAGATAACAATGTACAATAGGGGAAAAATCACATAGCTCAATTAATGTTAATGTAATGCAAAATAAACAAGGGACAAAGAAAAATTTCATAGGTCATTTGAATGAAATGTCAGGAATAAGTTTTCAATTTGCAAAAGAAATTACATATATTTTTTATACCCTTATTAATTTTTACTATTATTAATAATTCGTCAATTACTTTTCTTTTAGGATCTGCCAAATGCAATGAATGCAGCCGAAATCACCGACAAACTCGGTCTACACTCACTAAGAAACCGCAATTGGTACATTCAGGCGACGTGTGCAACCAGCGGCGATGGTCTATATGAGGGTCTTGATTGGTTGTCCAATCAGCTTAAGAACGCTAATCGCTAAATGAAATTCTTATTTTTCTTTAACTTAGCATCCGCAGCAGCAAAAACAACAACCACAAAAATCAACAACAACAAATAACATACAAAATAATTAATTTTGATTTAATAATAATAATAAAAGAAACCCGAAAATAAAGTTATTACAAAACAAACATCAAAAACAAAAAAATGAACGTCAAACAACCAATTTCAGTATATACCATCCACCAACACCCACAAACTCCCCTCGCTCACGAGGGATGTTAGAAAAGAGAGAGCCACTCCAATAATTATTTTCTCTTGGGCGCGCATTCAACATCAACAACAACAACAACAACAGCAATTCGAAGAAAAAGTCCACCACCTTTTTCATTCATTATTTAGACTAAAGACAATTGATGAAAACAAAGACAACCAATAAAACACATCCATCGTTTGTAGTCTGTTTTTGCTCGATCAGTAAGAAGAAAAAAAAAACAACAAAAGCAACATTTTAACAAATTGAAATGAAATGCAAAACTATGAAAATAATTGTATGTTAAAGCAAACAAAAAAGATAAATCCATTTACTATAAAGAATTACGGAATTATATAAAAACACACTTTTTCTAAGTATAATTTTATCTCTATACATATAATATATTTTTAATTTTAAATTTTTTAATAATTGTGTATTTTTGTTTTATTTCCAAATTCTCTCGTCGTATCTCCATGTACCACCACCACCCCGTCCGAGAGAGTTTATCGCTTGTGTTGTTCATATCTCATTTCCTATTTTTTCTTTTTATACACTCTCTTATTGTCTATATATTGTTCGTTTGTGTCTATATATAATAATATTGATTGATTGCTTACTTTTCCAACCAAAAAGAAAACAAAAAACCTTCAACTTGTGTATCAAAGCAACAATATAAGGAAAACTCAATATTTTTATTTGCTAAAACAGAATAACATCAACAACATTCTACAACCAACAAAAGAAAAAACAAAAACAACCAACTACAACACATACTTTATATTTAAATATAATTAAAAAGGAGAAGAAACATAAAATTTAAATAAAAAACTGTGTAATAATAAACGAATGCCCACTTTTTTCAAATTGTATACCTAAGTTTAAAAAATAGTAGGAAACTCTTAAACATGAAAGGATATCTTCTTACCTTATACCAATTTGAATCTGACTCTTAGCCAATATTTTTCTGATATTGCAACAATTGCGAATAATGAGATCGGGGAATACATCGTTAAAACACAATTCATATTCGTAATATACGGGCATGTCACAAAATCGTATCGAAATGGTTTGAATTTCGCAATTCAAAATCGTATGTTTTTGTTTTAGCTTCTTCAGATTTCGAACGATTTGGTGAACTACAAATTCAGTGTAAATATGGCAACAGTATATACTCAATATGGTAACATTAGTGGAGTGAAAGAACGTATAAATAAGGAATCAAAACAAAACACATGGTTAGAAAATATTGTAGAAGTATAATTTGTGAAAAATATCCTGCAATGGGAGCATTTTGTGCAAAAAGAAAGTTCATTTCATTATTTTTTACGCAAAGCCGGTAGTTTTCATATTCCAGTTATTTATCTCTTAATGTTTGCTTTGTTTTTCCCTAACTTTTATTCTTCGACAAAATTCGATTCTTTGCAATGGCAAAAAATTGTTAGCATTTACTGTTTTTGAAAATGCTAGGCCATAAGGAAACATTCGGATGTGTATGTGAAAAACTACAACTCTGATGCAAATCAATTTGTTCTGTGTAAACGATAGATTAGTCACCATTAAGGCCATGGTAGAAGAACACAGGTAGATGCAACAACGCTCCGGAACATTGACGTGTCAAAAATGTTTTGACAAAAATAAAAAGATTGTTATATTTTTTCTTATACCACGTCATTCGGAGGTTATTATAACACGCGTTTTTCAACAACTTTTACAAATTTAAATAAAAAAATGTTGAAAACGCGAATTATAATAACCACCGAATGACGTTGTATAAGAAAACATATAAAAATCTACTTATTTTTGATAGATATTTTTGACATATCAAGGATCCATGCCCTATTCTGTCAAAAACATATACGTAGTTTGTATACATTTGTGTATTGTTTTAAATAAAAAAGAAAATAATTTGAATTTTTTTCAAATTTAGGGACAACATGTATACTATTGCGATTAAACAATCTTGTCCCACTATCTTCGTTTCACATTCAGAAACCCCAATGATATAATGATTTTGTGAAAAAAAGTCTATGTGACACAATAAGACTCCCTTGCAGAGTTGCATTTTCCTAGTTTCCTTGAAGTTGAGCAATCTCTCTTATTGAGCCATAGGTTGGACCATGGTAGAAGAATATAGTATTCTCATGGTACAATAAAAAGGTAAGGTATAGCTACCAGCTGATTACAATTTTTTCGAAGTATACCCGACTTCTGCTAATTTTGTGTATGTATTTTTGTTTTGAAAATAAAAACAAAATATTTTGAGAATCAATGATTGGAAGAAACTTATGTTGCAGGGCGCGCATTAATGATATTAACCAGATTTACCATGGAATTGAAAGTTTGAACACTTAGGATCACACTTTTCACGCTATTTGTACCAAATGAACAAATAATATCAAATAAATGAAAACAACTTGTTGCATATAATTTTGAGTAATTCTGACAGGAAGCGGGCAAAGCCTCAGGGCTGAATTTGTCTAGTTTTACGAAGCTGTTCTACCTCCTTATTGCACCATGAGTATTCTTCTGCCATGGGCGTTAAGCTTCATTTAGACCTAAATTGTTTTAATAAAACACTTTATTTAGATTGTCAATTTCATTATTTATACAATAAAGTGAGTCGTAATGAATTGTTGACAATTTTTATGAAAACTGTCCCACATCTTCACTGGAATCTTGCCGGTTCAGGAAGAGAGTGAATACCATTTCCACAGCGTAAGAATTGTGTACGCTTATACGCCGCTGCTTTTATTTCGTTTGCTTCCTGCTGGCACAAATGACAATTGATTAATGACAAGCAGAACTGTCATGCATTTTTGCTGAAAAAATTAACTTGCTAACTTGTCTGCCTTTACAATATAAATAAATTAAATTTAACAAATATTTCAATTAAATCATGTCGAAACAAGCATCAAAGAAAAGTAAATGGGCGTTGGACTTCAACAGCAAGTGAGTTGTTTAAAGTTTATTACAACACCCGCATTAATTAATATTATCTGCATTTACCCCAGCAAATCCAATGATTTGCCTGCACCGATAGGTTACAACCCCAGTGCAATGGTTAATCAAACGGAAGTTGTCAGAGATCAACGTTTGGTGATGAAAAAATCCTGGGATTTGGCATTGGGACCATTGAAACAGGTAAATTATTTGCAAATTCTTAATTCAATGAAATAATTAACACTTCCTTTCCCCATACAGATACCCATGAATTTGTTTATAATGTACATGTCCGGTAACACAATTTCGATTTTCCCCATTATGATGATTGGCATGAGTTTAATACGTCCCATTAAGGCAATGTTCTCCACACAAGTTACCTCTAAAATGGCTGAAGGTGCACAGGGTACGGGACAGAAATTGGTTTATTTTTTGGGAAATTTGGCTAACGTTGCTGTGGCATTATACAAGTGTAATAGTATGGGCTTACTGCCGACACATGCATCGGATTGGTTGGCCTTTGTGGAACCGCAGACACGTTTAGAATATTATGGTGGTGGGGTGTCATTTATATAGACCAAATAAACTATACCGTATAAGTTCTAGTAATAATAATTATGAATATGTACGCATTATGCATTTCTAATATTTTAGAAAATGATTTATTTTGATGAACAGCTAATGGAGATGTGGGATATGTTTTATGAAAATTGCAAATAAAATTTATGATGGATAAAACAACTATTAAGCTTTTTGTTTGCTTCTTCTATAAAGTCACCCGAACTTTATTAAATATATGCTGAATAATATAAAAGACAAGTAATTTTCTTTGTGTGCCAACATATACTCTGTTCCAGATCTGAAGAATGTAAGGTTTTCACTACGATAATAGCTTTTCCCTTTATGATATCGAAAAAATTTCGAAACTAGAAGAATCTAGAAGGTTCGGGAAGAGAGCAATAGTATAGAGCGGGGGAAAAGGTCTTTGCTATACTGACGAATACCTAAACACCTATATTGTCACATTCCTGGATGTCAGCTTATATTTTATTTAAATAACACAGATTGGGAAATATTTTTAATGTTTATAAAAACTCATTGCAGAAATGTGAACTGCTGCAATAATCTGAGGCACACGTTTCTTCAATATTAGTAAATAGTTTTTCGAAAAAATAACAAATGCTAATATGAATGTTAAAACGACAGTCATAGATTCATTATCAGATTATAACAACGGATAAAGAATATCATTAGGGGTATTTTCGAATGAAAGACATCGACTACAGAATTATATCCAATAAAATATACATTGGTTTTTATTAAAAAGAAAAAAAATGAAATAGGAAATTCGAAAATCAAGTTTACATTAAAAACAGCATTTGCATTAAAAAAAATTGTCTATTAAAATTACAAATTAAAAAAAAAGGGTTTGCATTAAAAAAATTGTCTATTAAAATTACAAATTATTGACTGATCTATGAGTACAGCTATATTCTATCTTGTATTGGCAAGCGTTAGCCATTTTAGTCAACAATTTTTTTGGCTCCTTTCTTGACATCGTGTAGCAGCTGCTCAGCCGGTGACCTGTGGACAAAAGAAAACAGATATTTTTAATATAGTAAAAGACAAATTAATGCCATGTTTACGTTAGAAGTTTTTGCAGAGTTAACCTACTTTAAGAGGATTTATTTGAAGTTTAAGTAATGGATGTGACAATTTTAATCCAAATCAAGTGGGTTAACCCACTTATACGTAAACGTACTGTAAGAAATGGTGACAAATTATGCTTTAAAGTTTGCGGCTTAAACATTGATTCGGACTGTCATAGGGATCAAATTGACTTTGCACTGTCCCAAACTCTTTAAAATGTTATTCTTTTATTAGACCTTAATATATACAGGGTGAGATGAAAAAACTGGAATCCACTTCAAACTGCTGTCATTTCTAAACCACTCGTCCGACAGCTGTTAAAATTATTCCAGTTACAGCTCATTATATTGTCAAGCGTACAGAAGCATTTTGGTGAGAATTTTCCAGAAAAAAGTTATTTGTGTTGGAATTTAAGCGTGATAGAGTGATTTCTTTATATTTGGCTGCAAAACCAAAATTGGCTATACTTAGAGCACTCCACCATTGAAATGTGAATAAATCTCTTGTGTAGCGGAGCCTGACGTCAAGGAAGTGGACAGAAGAAAACAGCAACATCAGCAGAAATGGTTCGAAAAGTAAAGAAGCGATTTGATCGAACCCCGCGTCGCAGTGGCCGAAAAATGGCTCGTGAGCTGAACATATCGCAATATTCCACTCGGCAAACATTGAAAAGTGAGCTCGGGGAAAAGCCATTGAAAAAAGTGCATGAACTTACACCACAACAGAAAGAAAATAGACTCAAAAGAGCTAAAGAGTTGCTTCGCTTGGCCGAAAGTGGAGAACTGCCGAATTTGGTTTTCTCCGATGAGAAAACATTCGTTGTCCAGCAATTTGTAAACAAACAAAATGATCGTGTTGACTTGCCAAAGAGGTCAGCTGAAAATGTGCACCTTCGGTTGGCCACCAGAGCTCAAGCGCCGGCCATGGTGTTGGTGTGGGCCGCCATAGCAGCCGATGGTCGCTCTCCGCTCGTATTAATCGACCGTGGCATCAGAATAAATGCCGAATATTAGCGCGAAAATATTTTGGAGGGTTTATTCAAGCCTTGGACACGCAAACATTTTGGCCGCATTCCTTGGACATTTCAAAGCTTCATTTCCGCCACCAAAATTTCCGGATACCAATCCGTTGGACTATTGTGTCTGGAGTATTTTGGAAAGCAAGGTTGGCAATAAAAAATACCAAAGTGTCGATCACCTCAAGCAAGCGCTTCGCCGGGAATGGTCCAAAATACCGCAGAGCAACATACGGGCAGCGAGTGACGGTTTCATTGGCCCTTTGAAGGCCATAACTCGTCCCAAAGGTGACCAAATCTAAACTTATTCTAAAATTTGATGGTATTTCCGACATTTTTTGCTTTCATTCAATAAAATTGAAAGAAAAAATGTAAAAATTATAGCGTTTGACTTTGTTGCAGTTTTTTTTATCTCAACCTGTATAAATTTGTAAAGATACGCATTACAGTAGGTACTTCATATTTATTTTTATTATTGTTTGCTAAGTTACGATTTGTTAAGCTATACACAAATTTTTATTACTTTTTACGGTGTTCATCGGCCAACTCCTTAATTTTATCTATAATTTTGCTTGGCTCATCAACACGAGGAACCTGGAAAGAGAAAGAAGTTCTATTAAAAAATATTGTCTAAGAAAATCTTTATGATTTAAAATTACCTCATAATTTTGACTGATATAAATACCAGTATAGATACCAGCACTAAATGTTAACTGAAATACAGAAAATAATATTATTCGGATGTGGGTAAATAAAAAGTAATAGGATAAGTCAATTTTCTTTTGGGCTCCATCAGAGCACATAGATTTACGATGAATGCTTGGAATGTAAGGAAATATTAAACACAGGCTCCATCGCAAATTTATATTTTTTGGTTTAGAAGGACTGTTCATCGATTTTTTTGGTAGCAAAGTGCTACGGGGAGTGTTAGTACTAATATCCACGTACTTTTGCAGCACTAAAATTATCAGCTGACATTAAGATTTGTTTTTATCTTTATCATTGCAGTCAAAACTTATTTACCAATTTACTTTATGTTAAACAAGACATGCCATGAATTTCTTCTAGAACATATCAATAGAAGATGTGAAAACATTCGAGTGCAATTAATTCTGAAGCACAATGACCGGAAACGGAAGATTCAACTATAATCTATGGTTTTGCCCTTTGAACCTGATGCATGCATTAGCTATTTACATACAAAAACTTGGATGGAAAGATTGTTTTTTGGGGGAAATTCATCATGAACATTTTGACCGTAGCTCCAAAATGTTTGGCAAAACCGACACTCGAAAATGTATTATATAATAAAACTAGTTCTTTATGCAAAATTAACATATAATTCCTTTGTTATTGTTGTTGGAGGTGAAATCTTGCGGAGCAGACAGCGAACAAAAAACAGAATATGAGAGGGGGGCCAGCAAAATATGAAATCATGACACCAAAAATAAAATACGGGCACCAAATGACAATAACAAATTACGCAGGCTTTGGGCTCCGGAGACTAGCAACAATAATTCCAAAAAATTGCAGGGAATATCATCTAGCAAATGTTTTGTATTCATTGCACACTCTAAGATGGTTCAATAGATAAAAGAAATACAATCGAAAGTTCACAATATAAATGTTTGCTTACCAAAAATTTAAGCATGTCGTAAATGCCAGATCCGTCGACCGCCAGTTTGACAATTAAAATGAATATACACTCAGAGGAAAAAAAATCAAAAGCTGCGAAAGAAATACTCTCACACAACACTCTCTCACAAAAACTTGACAAAGTTGTCAAATACACTCGGCAAAAAATAAGAGCAAACTTAGCTGGTGCTCTTTATGGGAAACTTGTATTATTTTATTTGCACAAAAAAGCTAATTATTGTAGATAATAATGATGTTAATTCGTACTGAAAACACATGAAAAAGAGAAAAATAACAACAAATTTCACTTTCTTGAAAAAAAGAAACGACATATGATGTAGAGAGCAACAAATGTTTAATAATAATTAATCTCTTGTTTATTTTTGTTTAATTAGGTAATCAAATCACATATAAGCAAACTCTTGCAATATTATTAAAACTCTTTTTGAAATATTTTTTTAAATAAACAAAAACTTTTGAACACAGAATAAATGTGTATAGGTCCACAACGTAAAACTTTAATATATTCTTTATGGAAACTAATATATTCCTATTTTACTTTTTTGTTTCTAACACTGAATTTTAATGTTAACACTTCTTTAATCACTCAATAACTGAACATTTTTGGCTAGTTTTGCTCAAAAATGTTGATCTTCTGTGTGCTGGCACATTCTTGCATACATATTTAGTTTTATGGTTGGTTTTGTTGTTGCTTCTGTTATTGGCTATTGTTTAAATTTATTCATGTTTTGTACAAATGACCATGAACGTGGACATCGATGTCACAAACATTTGTTTAACTAGAATGACAGCGGAAGAGTTGTATTTGAATGTAACGGCAATATTTTTTTAAATTGTGTAAAATGTAACGAATGAATGAAGTGAAATGAAAAATGAAGTGAAATGAAAAATACCTAATAAACTTAGGTCTTGTTTCGGTATGATGAAACGAAAAAGAACTGCAAAGAAAAACACAAATTATTTGAAAATAGAATCAAACAATCCCCCCTCCAATGGTCTTAAATGGACCATTAATCGTTAATGTTAATGTAATGTAGTTATGGTGTTTTCTATTCTATTTGAAAAACACAACTTGAAACTTTAAATTTACTAAAAACAAATGCAACAAGTTATCTTGTTTATTCAAGATTTTTCTCAAACAAGCATTTGATTTTTTTTTTCAAATAAATAAATAAATTTAAATATTTTTACCAAGATCTGGTGTCAAGGTGACTGTGTATCACTCTTTCTAGTAGCTCCAGCACAAACGATCATGAAATGGCGTCCATGTAACACACGCTACATATACAAAGAACATTCCATCCTTTTCAATCCTTGATTTAATTTAAAAACCTACTATAACCGGTTTTCATTTATGATTTCGAAAAACAAAATGAAAAATATAAATTTGCTATTTTCAGGATCTGGAACAAGAGGAAAGAAATGTCAAATGAAAAATGTTACAAGAATCCAAGAATTTTCTTCCCATTTGATATTTCAGTCAAGACGTATGATTTAAAAGCCTGTGTTATCATTTTCAAGTGACTTGATGGGGAAGGAAACTCATCCAATGTGAATTTCTCAATAGTTGTCAGCTGTTTGTTAATGTAATGTCAACTTTTGCGTTTTTTGTCAACTGACGTTTTTCTTTTTTAAATTGCGACGATTTGGAAATTTTTACACAAACAGAACATAACAAACAAACAACAATTGCAATGGATTGCAAAGAAGGTACCACTCCCAAAATTTACCAAGTTTATTCCGTAAGGATTTATATGAAATTGTTTGTTTTCTATTCAGATAGCTGTACAGCGACAACTTCGACACCATCCACCACCATAAATGACTTAAACGATGACTGCTTGGAATGCATTTTCGAATGGATACAGGATCTACCAAATCAAATACAAATAGCCAAATGCTGCAGACGTTTTCGTAATGTTATGCTAAATTTGTGGCGAAGACAGCCACAGCATCGAACATTGGCCTACAACATCCTACCAACCATTGTACAAAACTATGACCATTTAGCGTATTATTTGCGTCTGATGCAAGGAGAATTCCAGATATTGCAAATAATCGATGACTGCCTGAATGTATTTCTCAAAGAGATGGAAGAGTGTGGCATCGATTGTCTGCCGCGTGTCGAAAGATGTGAATTCCATGACGATGTCACAGAATGCTATCCCAATGATGAGGATATCGAGTGTTTAAGCAGATTAGTGCCTAATTTAAAATACCTCCAAATTACTGTGCCCATTACAGGAAGGAATTTGAGTAAATTCCAATATTTAGAAGAGCTACATTTGTATGATGATCAGACCAAGGCAAAAGAAATTGAAGACGATGCTCTCAGGGATATATTGTTGAATTTGAAACAATTGCGTGTTTTGGATATAAGGAATTTTGAAACCAGCCGCTTGAGACTGATGCCTGAAATCTTACAATGCACCAGCTTGCAGGTTTTAAAGATAAATCTGAACACTTTGAAAGATGCTTTGGAATGTGTATTGAAACTGCCTCAATTGAAACAATTAAAGGTACTGCTCGATCAAGATATTGATGTGTCGTTGATTGGCAATGTCGACACCTATGACTATAAGATATATGAAACTCAGGAGTACTATCATATACTAAAAGAGAAGGGTCCTAACATTAAAGGTTTGGCCGTCGATTTTCATTTTCTGCCAGTAAGCTCTACATGGAATGTAGACTTTCTTTGCTTAAATCCAGAAAAATTGCGAATTTTGGCCCTGTGCAACTATAACTTTACTGCATCAAAATATGAAAATTGTTGCTTTGCCCATTTGGAGATATTGTGTCTTAGACACTCGGAAAACTTGGAAGCAGTTGCGATTTTAGATATGCTGCAGCTGTGTCCGGTATTAAAACATTTAGATATCAGTTACTGCCTCAATTTGGATAAGTCATTGCTGAATGCCCTGACAAGGTATTTGGAAGGCGAAAAAAGATCACATACCTTGTATGTGTACTATAGAATGTCCGGTTTGGAAGTTGAAATTGAAAAGGTAAGGCTTTTGAAGTTTAAAAGCCTCACAAAATAGAGCAAAACCAAACATCCCAAATTGTTATGTTCACTTAACATGTTTTTGGTCTTTTTCAGAATCTCTCATTTTGGTCTAGACAAAAGTACATAAAACTACTCAATGATTTTCCTCCAGACTCAGATTTGGGATTGAGTTATGTTCAAAGAGGTTATGCCTTTTATTTTTAACATAAAGCTCGCCAATTGCTGTCGCTGATGGACAAATTTACATCTGTAACATGTACGATTTTCATTAACATTTATTTGTTTTAAAAATAAATAAAAATACTTTAAGGTTTAACTTTTTTGCAAAAAATACATTTATGAGGGCGATTAAGGTGAGTGGATGTCATAATCGTTTATTAAAACAGAGAACAAACCCGAAGCCAAACTGATTTTAAATCGACTAACAAACCAACCAATTCTTATTTAAAAACGTATATTCTATTGATGAAAAAGAAAAAGCTTAGAAGTATTATTTTATACGCAAAATGAAAGTAGTCAAAAATTATGGATTGAGTATAAAAAAGTTTTAATATCTCATTTATTCGATAACAAAATTTGACAAACTAAAAAAGCAATTATTTTCTAATTTAATATTTATGAGTTAGCTATGGCTTAAAAATATTACATACAAACCTACTTCACATAATTTACACGCCAACATATTCATATCCATTTATATCAACTAACTAGTTACATAGCTATCTATGTTTATTTACAATGAGGTCCACATGGAGCACTGGAATTTTACGGTACAATTGGCGGTCGTATTGTGGCATGTATTACAAAGTCCCATGTATCTTTCCAGCGCAAATCGAGAATGTCATAGAGTGTGAGGTCTTTCCAGCCATAACTAATGGGTAGGAAACGTATATAGACACTAACAACGGCCACAAACCATGTCAGCACCGTCAAACGATATGTGTTGACAATGAATTTTGAGGAACCATAAAAACGCCTGAGTAAATATTCGAGATGGTCGACAACAAAGCAAAACAGTTGAACCTTGTACAGGAATGCTGGCATGTAGTTGTGCAAGAATAGGGTACTGTCCATTGTAAAATATGGTATATAATGCATCAAATAGCCAATGAAGTAGATGTGGCCCACGTTGAGCAAACGATTCCACTCTTTTTCATCAATGTCGAAAAACCTGCGATGGCGCCTTAAGAGATAGAAAATGAAAAGGCCAAAATACACCACAATGCCCAGAGTGCAGGAGTACCAAATTAGAACATTGCCCAAAAGATGGATTTGGGCGTTGGATTTCTTTGAAACCCAATAGGCAATGCCTTTACTTAGCAGTGGCCATTCCCAGGGAGCAGAACTGTACATGTGATTTCCCACATCGGTGTTGTGGCTGAGCATTTTGTGTTGCAGTTCCAGGAATTTGCTGGCGAATGAGAGTTGAGTGGGTCCCATGGGTATCATTTCAGCATTGATGAGTTTTCTTTCACGTTCCGCCCGGTCGGAATCTGAAGGTAGTAAAAGATGAGATTAGTATTTTAATTGTTTGAGATTGTCTACACTTACCCTTTGTATAACGATGCTCTTCAACATTCCAGATAACATCTTTGCCTGTTGTGTCTTGGTCGGCAGCAACTTCTTGCTGACTAAAGGCCCAATCGGGCAAAACCTTATTTGTATACTTTAAGGCAGCACCCGTGGAGACGTGTATCAGACGCACCTCGGATTTAATGGTTTTCCAAATTGGACCCTCCTAAAAAAGGAAAGGTTTTTCTTAAGTGAATGAGTTTATTTTGATGGGCTTGAGTGTTACCTTCTGCCGGTTGGTAATGTCCACTTTCCACAACAGCTCCCCCTTCATATTGATGCCATAGTCTATGTAACAAGAAACTTCCTGACAGGTGGGTGTAACCGGAGCCGCCACATCATGACTGTTTAATGCCCGACTTGTTATGCCATGCACCAGTTGTATAATATCACCATGACGAATATATTCGGGTTTCTCTCCCACAACAATGTCATCATATTTGGGTTTTTTGACGATCCACCAGTTGTTGACATCCTTAAAGGGATAACAAGTGACCTGTTGCTGATGTGAGGAACCCCGACCATCGGGATAACGTACCGGATACACCAAGGCATGGGAGTGTAGCCAACATAACGAACCATGAGTGTGCCTAAGCGTGATTTGTGAACCATGTGCCACCCTGAGAGGTTGATTGCGTGTTATCGAGGCTAGACCTCCTTCCAGTGAGGCTTGAAATGCGCTGGTCAGTACAGCATCGTGTGGGCCCGCCTTGTACAGGGTGCTAAGATGTATGTAGAATATTAAAAGGTATATTGCAATTGGTACGATGGTGAACAGGACGAAATTGGCGATGGTGTGGAGGATTATGTAAAGATCTGAAAAGAAGTGAAAAAGGGTGAATGTTTTGAATGATTTTATTACCAAATAGAGGGGATTCTTTTTTCAATGGAAAATGTAGAAATGTTTATAATATGTACATAAGAAACCCCACGAATAAGAAACTATACAGAGATCTTATTTCGAAGAAAGGTCCTTCTTGAAATTACGTTATAATTCTAAATAATGGTGTTTGCAATAAGGGTTCATTGAAGGTGTAGAGTGAAGACAAAACTTTTGAGCTTTATTTCAACAGATAAAGAATTTTCCTTAAATTTACTTTGAATGGAGGTTATCCTACTGATTAAAATATCTCATTCAAATACCCTGTGAAGATATTCTATTGTTGGAATATCTTTTATATGATCACTGTTTTCATGTTAACACTATCTCCCATTGCTCGACAAGATCTCCTCCCCCCCATCTCCCCTCATTTCACATTATAAACAAACACATTATGTCTCCGTCCAACTCACCAGATTTAGTGCCATCGTACAAAAGATCCCACAGATATTTCAGTATCAAATAAATGGCCAAACAATAGGTGAAAAATCCCACATATTTTATGCTAAACGCGAATGTCAAAAATGCCGACGATGCCAGGCCGTTTATTATCCAGCTGATGTGCATAAATTTTGTCTTTTGGAAACGCATTAGGAAATAGATGCCCAGGGTGCAGAACAACAACAGCATGGACTCCATCAGTATCAAACGTGATTGTATCAGCATGGAATTATCGAAGAGCACTAGAAGACCACCCAACACAGAGGCCCAGCGAGATATACCCGTCTCCTTGATTAGCAAATAAACAGAAGAGGGCAATAGACTACCGCAAAGGGCGGGCAGAAAACGCATCCAAAACAGGGGATATGAAGCTGGATAGGGCGAGCCAATGTTGGTGGCAGTAAAATTCCCACTGTAGCCAATCGAATCGGCCATTGCAGCAATTAACTGTTTGCCCAAAGGAGGTTGGGTGTCAAAGAAGAACTGATTACGCATATAGTGCGACACCGATTTGGCATAGTGCAGCTCATCGAAGACAACATGCCGTGGATAGGTGAGCCGGTAGAAGCGGGTGGCAAATGCCACAACAAACAGCAACCATGAAAAAAGATCGAGGCGGACTTGCAATGTAAACCGTTCATCTTGCTTCTCTGTGGCGGGTGGGATTTCCTCTGTTTCCCCCGGCTGGCTTGAAGGCACTTCCTCTGTAGTTGCTGGTTCTTCTAACACTTTCGCCGTTCCATTTGCTTCCACGAATTTCTCTCGACTTTGACTAGGTTCTCTTGATTTTTCATTTATTGTGGCAGAGAGCTGCTCTAAGCGAGAACTAGAACCGGAGCGAGAACGGCTTAAATCATTAACTGGTGTTGTTGCGGCTGCAGGTAATGTTGTTGTTGTTGCTGATGCGATGGTGGTGGTGGGTATTACTTGGCAGGTATTTGGTGTTTGGCATGAATGGCAAGAATTGGCGTTTAGACAACAATTTACATCGCGACAGCAGTTGATGAATGGAGTAATTAAGCCGCCACCATTGCATAAGCTGTGAGCCCTGGCTTGAATAATATTGAGTGCCGCAATTGTGGCTGTTGCTGCCGGCCTCTCGCCGCCGCTGCGATGGTGCTTGTTGCTTTCTCTGTCCGATTGAAGTCTTTCGTTTGCAGCAGCCGAGTTCATTAGCTGATCTCGGTCAGTGTAGTGATTTGATTTGGATTTGGCATTTTTACGCCTCTGCACGCTTTTGTTTGGTGATGTCGACATGATTTTGGAGAAAGAAGAAGCTTCATAAAAAAGGTTGTGGCTATGAACTTTCTTTTAAGCCAGCAGCATGGGAGAGCTATAAAAAACCCGACTTGATAAAAATTAAAGTTTTAACTTGTTTTTTTGTTTCTGTTTTTGGTTTTCTTGGTTGATCGCACAAACACACATGTACACACCCTTCTTTCTTTCTTCTTGTCGTTTGCGTTAAGTGTTGTTATTTTTGTTGCTGTTGCGAATGACTGGAAACTTGTTATTAATGTATCTTTGATGAAATATTTTGGGTTTTTGTTTCTGCTTCTTGGCAAGTTCACACTTTCACTTTTTCCCATCTACTTTTGAAAAAAAAAATCATTGTAGAAATCCAAGAAGTACACAATCACTTTTAGCTGCTATTTATCAATGAATATTATTTTCTTGTTTCTTTTGCATATATTTATGCAGATTTCTTATTTGATTTTGTTTCACATTTCCGTTTGCTATCGTTAATCTAAGAATAATAACCAGCCAAGCAGCGAACGTTGTGCCACGCCACGTCTTATTGGATTGAAACTAAGCCAGACTCTGGGCACTTTTGAAGAAAACACATTTGCTGTCTTGTGTTGGAGCCACACTCATTCACTCCCTCAATGAAAATGCACTCTCAGTGCTCACTTCAGTTATTTTGTCTTGGTTTGGGTTTTTAACGGACTCTCCCATGTGCAAGTTGGTTTTTTATTTCTTGTTCTTACAAGTCTGGTCAGAAAACTTGTTCTTGTTCGAAATATTGGTCAATCCTTGTTATGTGTTGTTGCCGTTGTTATTATTATATGTTTTACATAAAACCACACACAAAAAAAAATTTAAACGTCTTTCTCCTGGTCTGGTCAACTTAGGAATGGGGCATTTCAACCAAATTCATTTATCTTTTACCTTTGAGTCTGGTTTAACTGTCTTAGCCATTGATTTCAGACGCCGCAGGCGTGTTGTTTATATGCCCAACACATATGTATTGTCTTTGATGTTTTCTTTTTAACCCATATTTTGTGTGAGTGAGAGTTGTGTGCCTTAGCCTCTCTTCTTTTAATGTTGGAGAACATGAAGATGGCTCTTACGCTCGTGAGAAAATCTTGTTGGGAAAAACCATGCGTAACACCTGTGGTTGCAATTGGATTTGTTATTATTTGTCTAGTTGGGGCATTTGTTTACAACACGAAGAACGAGTCGTTAAAACAAATAGAAAAATTGTAAACAAGTCATGTTTGAGAAATTCAAGATGCTCAAAGTGGGGGTACTCTCTCTGTACTTAGAGACAAAGAGAACCGAAAATAATACTGCTATATAATGAAGTAATCAATTAAACCATCAAAGATTATCAATGGTCAAAGACTAGATGGAAGGAGAAAACAGTTTATAGCAGAGAAAGGGAGTGAAAGCGAGAGAAGGGAAGATATTTGGAAATTGTCGTTAAAGAAAAACATGAATATTTTTATAAAAAATATTCAGAATAAAGTCAGATAAAAGACTTTTACATGCCTTGTGTAGAACATGATAACACAGATTTAATAGAAGAAAAATTATGAATTAATCCAATCCGACTTCGATTTCACTCCGGACTCAAAAAAAGTCATTCTGAAGCCTATTAAACGCATATGATGCTGGATAGGACGAGCCAATGTTGGTGACAGTAAAGTTCCCACTGTAGCCAATCGAATCAGCCATTGCAGCAATTAACTGGTTGCCCAAAGGAGGTTGGGTGTCAAAGAAGAACTGATTACGCAAATAGTAAGACACTGATTTGGCATAGTGCAGCTCATCGAAGACAACATGGCGTGGATAGGTGATTCTGTAGAAACGTGCGGCAAATGCCGCAATAAAAAGCAAACATGAAAAAAGATCGAGGCGGATTTGCAATGTATTTCCCATTTTCTTCTCTATATATAAAAATTTAAAATGTCGAACTTGGGGTTGGATTAGTTAAAAAATTTTACTAGAGCCGGAACCTGGTCAAATATGACTCGACTCTGCAACCCTGGCTATTACGAAGACCTGCCAGAAAATATCGTCTCCTCTCCCGTTAAATCTATAATATTTTTTAATAAAGAATTAGTTTACTTAGTATTATCTATTTCACCGTCTCCTTAGTAAAATTGTTTTCGTTTCATTTTTTTCCATTTTAAAGAGGTGGTTGTATATATTTTAACCTCTATCTTCCCAGAAAAAAATATATTTTTTATTTATTTAACATATTCCTAAAACCCCCGTTACTAAATTTTGCACCATTCAACTATGGCTACTTATGGCAACAACTAACTTTAGTCTAATAGCATTGCCATACTAAGTGTCTTTCCACATCATTTCCGTTAAGTTTATTTTGATTCGACAGCCGTGGCCACGGCATTGCCATGCCCTATTTCATTATCTCTCCCTGTCTCATTGTTGCCTTTACTTGTTTTCTTATTCAAAGAAAAAGACATGAATTCAAGAGAAAACAATATAAAGCATGCAAAGAGAGTGAATAAAATCTAGATCATAATATCATCATTCAAAAGAGAATAGGATTTGTTTATCACATATTTTCTTATAAATTCCCTAGCATGTTCCTTTGTTAGCGTTATGGTGTTGCCAGTCTCCATGTCTCAATGCCTCTCACAATGTCCGTTATATGTGTTGTGTTTTTATTCAAAAATAAAAACAAATAGACCTCAAGAGACACTTGTGGGAAGCACGTTAAAAGAAAGAATGGCAATTTATAGCAAATTGATGTTTTTTACTCTTTCGGCATCATAATCTCTTCATATTGAAAAATATAAGTATATGATTTTAAGAGTACAATTATGGTATATACAAGGAGAGAATATACAATAAGGGGTGACATCAAAAATTAATCATGGATTGTAAATAATTTTTTCTAGACTATATTTTACCTGGAATGAACCCCTAATAACAAATTTATGCTCTGTTACACAACCTGCAAGAATCTACTAGTTTTGCTTTCCTTCGATATCATAAGGGAAAATCGGTTAACGTTATAAGATTTTTACATTCTTGCAGTTTCTGGAACAGAAACGTAAGAAAATGTTTTTAGGATCTTGAAAACTTCCATAATTGGGAGGTACGGTTTTATGGGGGCAACACTTGGACCCATATTGACATATAAGCTGTCGGTGTAATACTTAACCCCACATAATCCACATCCGAAAGTAAGCATTTTCATTGAAAACAAAAGAGAAGCGACGAAACATATTGACAACTAAAAACAATTGTGGATGCGTGTGTGTGTGTATGTATGCAAACTTACAAGAATTTGTGACACAATTCCAAAACAGTGAAATAACTTCATCATCATTGTCATTCCCGCTACCATCGTAGCTAGTAAATGTACTCTACCACATCAATGTCTTTGCCATTTTATTTTAGGGTTTGAAATAGTTTGTTTTTTTTTTTTTTTTCTTCTAAACGTGTGTAAGTTTCGAGAGTGTTTAACTGTATTTATTGCACACCAGGGATAAATGTTGTGCTGGGGATTTGGTATTAGTTTTTTTTTTCCCACTGCTACATTGCAACACTTCTTGAGATAATACTCTCCTCTCAGCAATTCCTCGAATAAGATGTCTGATGATCCGAATACAAGTATGCCGGCAATGAGTGGAATGAAGATGAAGTTTAAATGTCACTTATGTTTGAAATGGGAAGCATAGCTTCTTCACACGCTGCGCTTGATATGATGTCGTTTTGCAGCATCCGATAAAAAGACATAAGGATATAAATGGCAAATACTTGAGACAGAAAATTGAAAAACTTGAAACAAAGTGGAGAAAGAAGAGAAGGAACAGAAAAAAAAAATAAAATGACGTTTTGTGTGTGTGTGTGTGATTGTCGAATATCCTTGCTAATGGAAAATATACATTGTAGATTGGGAAAATCCATTGAGTGGGAAGAAGAGCCAGCATTGACGTACGAAAAAGACAATGTGTAACAAATTAGCGCTATTATATGAAAGAGGATATTGGCTTGAAAAGGGAATATAAAAATGTAAATACTTAAATGTGTGTGTACATGCGTATGTGTGTGTGCTGGAGATTACATGGATATTTCTATGGCAATCGTTGAAGAATATGGTTTAATTGATATATTATTTTCGGATTGTTATTTTTTAAAAATTTGCTGTTGAAAGTTTTTTTTTTTTTTTGGGAGCAAAATGTGAATGTTTGTTTGTTAAATTGATGAACAAGGCTAAATTTTAAAACAGAAATGTGGGAAAAATGGTATCTGCTCCAAAAGAAAACATTAGTAGTTCTTTAGGTGTGTTCAGGAACAAAGGCAAACATGGAGATTAGTAGGGGTAAGAATCTCTCTTGCATTTTCAAAGCGACACAAATGAAAAATAAAGAGGTTTTGTTGCCAGGGAAAAGGTAAGGTGGCTTTCATGGTATAAAATATAGAGGAGGCCTGTGGACTCTAGGGTTTTTAAAAAGAAACGTCATTAAATTTATATGGGAATTCTATTATATACTTTTTGCAATAAATTGGTCTGTTCCAGAACTGCAAGAATGTAAAATTTTTTACTATGATGCTACGATTTTTCCTTTATGATATTGAAAAAAAAGAAAAGAAAAAGATTATTACAGGTACTGGTACAGAACAAATATGTTTGTTTTAGAAAGTTGAAAAAATTAGATTTTAAAAAATGTCATTTTATTCTCATTCTCCTGCTTTTATAATAAATATTGTATTCGATATTTTAGCATTTCAAATCTCTTGCAAATTTCATAGATCTCCTAAAACCCCTGAAAAATTCTCACAACAAAAAGAGTGTTTTCCTAATAAAAATAGATTTTTAATTCCAACTCACCTGAGAGTATTGGCATCATAATGTAAACAAATCAATGCCTCCCAGCACCATCACCCTCTCAGAGCACAATAATTGAACAATGTAATTATTAGCTCCTACCATTAAGAGTACACACCCACACATTTTCTCTTATTAGAAACTCATTCAATTGGATCTCTGCCATGTGTGTGTGTGTGTGGATATGAGTATTTTGCCACTTTGCCTTGCAATGCAAGGCTTACATGCATTGTTGTATGTACATGCATGTATGGATGTGGTTGTGTGGTTGTGTGTGTTTGGTTAGCTAGCTGGCTGCCACAATGTAACTTTGGCTCATCCATAACCTATGGTAATTGTGGGTTATAAAACGTATAATTTGATGATGATCACTTTTCACATGTAATTGAGCTGCTGATTAAAGCAATTTGGTCGATAATGCCCCCCAAAACTGAAAAGGGATTTCAAGGGAATTGTTGCAACATATTTGCATTATGCGTAGACACACACAAACACACATGCATGCAAACATATATCCATTACCATTAATGAACCAAGTGCATAGTTCTTGTTTGTCTATTTGCCAACCGTTGAAAGTTTGAAGTTTCATGCAAAAGTCTATTGAGCTCATGGCGAAAAATTCAATGGAAAAGGGGAATAAATATTATAAAATAACATTTTCAAATATTTTCAAGGAAAGTACGGATTTATGAATTGTATGTCCATTAGAGTCTTAAATTAAAAATAATAAAATTTCTAGCTTAAAGGCATTGATGTCTTAAATTGAGGGAGAGAGAGAGAGAGCTTAGGGGAGAGTAATATGCCTTTCATAAACAACGACTAATGAAGGGAAAAAGTTTGGTTGGTCTTTGCGGCAATGAGCATGGGTGAACATTGATGTTAAAGGCAATGGCCAGCTAGCCATTAAAAATTAACAAATGTTTTTAGCCAGTCAATTTCATTGTGATCGACCAGTTGTCAGTGTTAAGTCGGCTATAGTTTTAAATGTAAGTCTTGTGTATTATATTGTATTTATTAAATTATTCTTCCACATCTATGACTTGT